GGTGCCCGAGTGGCCACAGTCCAACGGTGCCATGCATGTAAACGGGCCAGACGAGCCATAGCCAGTGGCTCCGAAGTCAACAGACTCATGAATGTAAAGTTGGCCTGGAGCGGTTGCTCCGAGAGCCAGGACCACAGTTCGTCAGCTAAGCCGCGTTCAGCTAGAGCGACCATGTTCGGACTGGTCTGACTGGTAGCCAACAGCATCTCCGCTTGCTGGACTGCCACGTTCATCGGCCCAGGTGCATCAAGGTCGAAGAGAGCTCGTTCAATCTCTTGCAGAGTCATGTTATTCGGGTCCAGGACCATCGAGTTCCCTTTGAGGGTCAGGCGTCGGACATATTCTTTCGAGTCGAAGGTGGCAGGGGAGAGCTCCCGTACCTGCAACGTGTACGTGTTGCAAGGGATCTCGGATGGCCATTGCACGCGAGCCTTGTCGAGTTGGAAATGGTCCAGCGCTGCATACATGTTGGGGGAGAGGAGAATAGTTCCCTCGTTGGATGGCAGGCGGCCTCGTTTCGACTTTTTGGGTAGTTGAAACGTAACCTCCATCTCCAGTTGTGGAGGCTGGTCAACAGCTGCCGACGTCGATATGAATGTCGTCTCCGTGTGCAAGCCATCGTCACCATCAGCATCGACCTCCATCTCATGGGGTCCAATGTAGGTGCATGGTGGTGGCGGTGAAAAGCTTGCCTCACGCGTCGTAGAGCTTCCCGGTACAGCGCTGGTGGCAGTCCCTCTGGATGCATCTACTGGTTGGGTCTTTTGCCTCTTGTTATCCGCGTCTGGTGTAGACAGTCGCGTCCCGATAAACCCCTGCTGCCCTGGAAAGTTGTCCAAGTCAAGGCAGTGGACCGACACCTTGCCCCGTCGTGGGCTCGGAGATTTCACATAGTCGCGGGTGAACACCCCGTAGTATACTCCCTGCAGTTTGATCTGGTCGACGGGATGACCATTGATCACAAGAGGACCTGGCGCCTCCTCAGAGCAGAAGTAAACTCGCCAAATGTTAGAATGGCATGCCGTTCCCTGGACCACCGATTTAAAGCCTTGGAACAGTGGCGCCGTTTTAAGACGCCGGAGGAGCTTGACCAGTGTGTGGGAATCGAAATTGTACCGCACACCGACGATGTCCATGTAGAACAGGTCGTGAAACTCGCTGCGACGAGCTCGCGATGGTGTTGTGGAAGCGCGGATGGACGGCGTAATGACGCTGAATCGCTCGCCCATGATGTGGATAGTTTGATCCATCATTCCCTCGCGGGTGGCTTCCTCGGCCACTGTAATGACCAAGTCTCCGTCGCGGGC